TAAATATACTTTGACAATCTCTGTCTTGTACGTTTGTGTTTGTTTCTTATTTGCCCATTCTCTTTTTGTTATTCCTCTTACGTTCCTTCCTTTTGGTTAATCAAATATTTTTTAATGTTCCATTTTACATCATCTTTTGACTTCTTAGTTATACCTGTTTTTATTGTTCTTTCAGTGGTCACTAAGATTACGAATATGCATCCTCAACTTATCAAATGCCACTTATAATCAGTATTGTACCTGTCCGAGCCTGACACTTTCCACATACACCTTACCAGTTCAAAACTAACATTTTCAACTTCCACTTCCTGCTTTCTGCACCACATCCCAAATACAAGGCCTGTCAATTAAGTTCACGAACTTGCCACTATGTGCTCATGTTGGCAACACTGCACAGACAACTCGATAAGGTTTCATAACATTGGCATATCAGTGTCTCACAGCTGTGTTCAAGTCGATGTGTCAGTGCCATGCTGAGTGGTATTCATTACTATTGGTGGGTGTTTTTGTGCATCACTGCAAGAATGTCAGAGCTTAAATTAGAGCAATGTACAAGCATTCATAAATTTCTTCCTAAACTTGGCAAGAGTGGAAGTGAAATCAGGGACACGTCAGTCAGTCCAAGTTTATGAGGATAATGCCATGAGGAAAATGGATGTACAAATGGATTAAATGTTTTTTTCTGGAGAGAGAGAAAGCATCAGTGATGAGGAGAAGTTGGGCAGCCAGCAATGAGCAGAACTGAAGAAAAATTATAAAAATTCATTGAATTGTGTGTCAAAATCATTGGTTAACCATGAGAAGTCGACCAGAACAAGTAAACATCAATAGAGAATTAGAAAAAACTCTTAAAGAAAGATGGAGACTTTACTTCTTACATGTTTACATGGATGGAGCTAGAACATACTCTTCTTAGCAAAGTATCTCAAGAATGGAAGAAAAAGTATCCAATGTATTCAGCCCTACTATGAAACCAATTCTAGTTTTCATAAGAAAAATTATGAAATTATAGCCCAAGAAGAAGGGGAAAGGGGAGAGGGAGGGGATGGGGGGTATGGGTGGAGGGAGAGTAATTGGTGGGACCACACCTATAGTGCATCTTACAAGGGTACATGTGAAATTTATTAGGTATAGAATATAAATGTCTAAACACAATAACTCAGAAAATGCTGTGAAGGCTATGTTAAACAGTTTGATGAAAATATTTCAAATTATATATAAAACCAGCACATTATACCCTATGATTGCATTACTGTACACAGCTATGATTTAATAAAAATAAAAGTTAAAAAAAAAATCTTAACTGAAAATATTGGCCAATAACTCATAGCAGTATACTGACTCATACAGCACTGGCTGTGAGGGAGTTTTTAAACCAGTAAACAAATAACCATATTGGAACACCCCTCTCAACTCAAACTTACCTGGCTCCCAAAAACCCTTTTCTTTACCTGAAGATAAAGAAAATATTGAAGGGCGGTGCCTGTGGCTCAAAGGAGTAGGGCACTGGCCCCGTACGCTGGAGTTGGTGGGTTCAAACCCAGCCCTGGTCAAAAAAAAAAAAAAAAACCTGCAAACCTGGCCCCGGCCAAACTGCAACAAGAAAACAGCTGGGCATTGCAGCGGGTGCCTGTAGTCTCAGCCACTTGCCTCAGCTGAGGCAAGAGAATTACCAAAGCACAAGAGCTGGAGGTTGCTGTGAGCTGTGACGCCACAGCACTCTACCGAGGGTGACAAACTGAGACTCTATTTCTTAAAAAAAAAAAAAAGAAAAGAAAATATTGAAAAGAAGACATTTTGATGACATTCAGGACATCTAGGGTAATATAATGATAACTCTGATGGCCATTCCAGAAAAAGAGTTCCAAAATTGCTTTGAGTGCTGAGAGTACAGGCATGAGCCATAATGCCCAGCTCTCCTTAGATTCTTTAAAAATACTGTTCTTAGAATATGAACAAGCAAACTTATTCTATGCTTTTTCTGAACAATAAATAGATCTTATTAGAATGACTTAATTCTTTATCCTCTTTCTTCTCTCATGTTATTGTTATCTAGGATTTGGTCCCTTTTTATTTTAATAACCTTGATTAGCCATTATTACTATCTCATGAAATATGTGACTCAGGATATAAGGAGTTACTTTTTACTTACCAAAATCCCTCTTATATATCACCCCTTCCTTCTAGTTTTAATTTTCCTCTTCATTGTTCTTTTTATGTCACCAAAACCAACCACTCTCCTGCTAGGCCATCATGACAATGAGGAAATGACTTTCTTGGCAGCTAAGCTGTCCATTTAAAGGGATGACTGTTCTATTTTATCTAGCATTTCTAGATTTTTTTTATTATTATTTGTTTTATTTGGTTGAGATGGAGTCTCACTATATCACCCTTGGTAGAGTGCCGTGGTGTCACAGTTCACAGCAACCTCTAACTCTTGGGCTTAAGTGATTCTCTTGCCTCAGCCTCCCAACTAGCTGGGACTACAGGCACCCACCACAATGCCTGGCTATTTTTTTTATTACAGTTGTCACTGTTGTTTAGCAGGCCCTGGCTGGGTTCAAACCCACCTGCCTCAGTGTATGTGGCCAGGGCCCTAACCATTGTGCTACAAGTGCAGAGTCCATTTCCAGATGTTTTGAAACTATTTAGGTTATCTAACTTCCCACACTGTCAGCAATGGAATTCAAAACAGAAATAAAATTAGTAGAAGGATAATAGAAATTAATTCCTGAAATATGAATGATTTAATTCCATTTTTTTGACGAAACAGGTTCTATGAATCTATAGATCATGAATTAAGTGGCAAATTTTCTCTAAAGGACTGCACAGTAAATATTTTAAGCTCTGCAGACCACATTTGGTGCCTATAGGACATATTCATCTTTTCCTTTTTCAAAATCCTTTGGAAATATAAAAACAATTGTAAATTGCCAGCTGGTACAAAAACAAGCCGTGGGCCCAATTTTGTATGTAGGCCATAGTTTGCCTATCTTTGTAGTCAGGTAGTCATCTTGGTGACTACAAGAGCATACCCTTCCTCCTGGCTTCCACAAAATGCTTAGGTGGTAAGTCAATGCAGAGAGAACTGGTTCTTTTGAGAAGGTTTTTGGCTTTTAAACTGTGAAAATGTTTATTTTCTTTCTTAATCTATTGCTTGTTCATTTCAGCAGCTGTCTCTACCGTAACTGCCCCCCTTGCCCTGTGACAACTAAAAGACAACCTATTCATTGAACAAAGCCTTTGCTAAGCACATACAACAAGGTCAAGGTTTTACATACTAAATTGCCCTCTGATTCTGACTGACTGGCTCAATGTAAGACATTGTGTCATCCTGATTCCAGATAATCTTACCTTTCTTCTACTTCTATTAATCTGTCCTAGTCTAGGCGATAACACAAGAAAACAATTCAAATGTGGTGTCTTCTATTAAGCCAGAAAGTAACTGTAATGGATCAAACTGTTATGTTTTAAGCCAAGGGGCCCAAGGCCAATTTTCCTTCTGGCAAATTAGAAAATGCAGAAAAGTGAATTATACAAGGTATTTTGCTATTGCCTAAAAAAGTTCTCTGCTTACACATACTTTTAATGCTGTTAAAATATTATATGCCCTTTTAAATTTTTTTAGATATAATTTATTACATCAAAAATTAAGGCAAATAGTATAACATAAATTTTAAAAAATTAGGGTTGGTGTAAATATATCCATAGTGAAAATATGTGAAGCAAATCATAGAGAAACCTTAGGGAAATAACTGGTGGAAATTCTGATGGAAGGATGAAGTAAGGGGCTAAGAAAAAGACATGAGAGGAAAATGGATATATCTCATTCACACCAAGCAAACTAACTCCTTGAGACAAGTCCGAACAAGAAACATGTGGGAACGATGGGGATTCACAGAGTGGGACTTTTCCACAAAATGTGGCTATTCAGCTGGAAATGGTTACAATAGTTGACCATAAAGTATTCTCCAGAAAAACATATCAAGACCGTTTTCTTTTGCTACTAAGAGGATATAATCCTTTTATCATAAAACAACTAAGAGTTCTGTGGCTGGGAGAAGAGAAAACATTCAAATATTCTATGCCTAAACTTTTTCTTCCAACAATCCTCAGAATGCTAGCAAGAAAGATTCTTCACGGCTGGGCATCTGTAGCTCAGCAGCTAAGGCACCAGCCACATACACCAGAGCTGGTGGGTTCAAACCCTGCCTGGGCCAGCCAAACAACAATAACAACTACAACCAAAAAATAGCTGGGTGTTGTGGCAGGTGCCTGTAGTCCCAGCTACTTGGGAGGCTGAAACAAGAAAATCACTTAAGCCCAAGAGTTTGAGGTTGCTATGAGCTGTAATGCCACAGAACTCTACTGAAGGCAACATAGTGAGACTCTGTCTCAAAGAAAGATAAGAGAGAAAAGAAAGGAAGAAAGATTCTTCAGCCAATCCCTGATTTCTTCCACAATTCCACACTCATCTGGAATTAATAAAGTCACAATCTACTAGTACCCCACACATGTCTGCAACCCCCCCCCCATTAGAAGATAATCTTCTGAAGGGAACTAGCATCCTTTCTTTTCTTTTTTCCTCTCTTTCTTTCTAGCACCTGCTACAGCGCCAGGTATGTGTTCAGTAGACTTCAATTAGGAATGAATGAATTCTACATGCTTTTTTTTTTCCAACAGTAGAGCTAGAGTTACACAACTTGAAAATAGTACTGGGTTTATTAAAAAATGTTCCAACAACATTAGCAGGCTTTTCTCTAATTCTATATTACTGCGATCAAATGGTGTTTGAAGATACGAATTAAGATTACACAGCCAAAAAAGAACAAATGGTATTTGCTAAGGTTCATATTGAAGTCTTTTTTTTTTTAATTTATTTATTTAAGAGACAGAGTTTCACTTTATCACCCTCAGTAGACTGTTATGGCGTCATAGCTCATAGCAACCTCCAACTCCTGGGTTTAGGTGATTCTCTTGCCTCAGCCTCCCAAATAGCTGGGACCACAGGCGCCCGCCACAACGTCCGGCTATTGTTTTGTTGCAGTTTGGCCAGGGCCGGGTTCAAACCTACCACCCTACCCCACTGAAAAACAGGCTCCACTCAAGTCTTTTTTATTTTGAGACATAGTCTCACTCTGTTGCCCTGGATAGAGTGCCATGGCATCATCATATCTCACAGCAACCTCAAACTCTGGGTCTTGAGCAATCCTCTTGCCTCAGCCTCAAGTAGCTGTGACTATAGGTGCCCACCAAAAGGCCCAGCTAGTTTCTTCTGTTTTTAGTAGCGACAGGGTCTCGCTCTTGCCCAGGCTGGTCTTGAATTCCTGCACTCAAGCAATCCATCCACCTCAGCCTCCCAAAGTACTAGGATTACAGATGTGAGCCACTGTGCCTGGCCTAAGGTCATGTTTTTTTGTTTTTTTCTATGAAACATGTATGACCCCAATATCTTCTAAAGCAATAACTCTAACCCTCCTTCAGTAACATGACATCTGTAACAACATCTATAATTTTTTCTTCTGAGACAGGGTCTTGATCCGTTGTCTAGGCTGGAGAGCAGCAGCCTCATCATAGCTCACTATAGTGTCAAACTCCTAGCATCAAGCAATCTTCCTGCCTCCGTTTCCAGTACCTTGGATTATAAGACATGCACTAGTATGCCTAGCTAATTTTTCTTCTTCTTCTTTTTTTCTGAGGCATTGTCTTAAGCTGTCACCCTGGGTAGAGTGCTGTGTTGTCATATTTCACAGCAACCTCAAACTCTTGGGCTCAAACGATTCTCTTGCCTCAGCCTCCCAAGTAGCTGGGACTACAGGCACCCGCCACAATGCCTGGCTATTTTTGTTGTTGTTGTTGCAGGTGTCATTGTTATTTAGCTGGCCAGGCCCTGTATATGGCTGGTGCCCTACCCACTGAGCTACAGGCACCACCCTTCTTTTTTTGTTTTTGTAGAAATAGCATCTCACTCTTGCTCAGGCTGGTTTCAAGCCTGGCCTCACATGATCCTTGCACCTTGGCCCCTCAATGTGTGGGGAATACAGATGTGAGCTACTATGCCTGGCCAACATCTATAATATTTACTGCTCTTAGGTAACATGTATTGATACCTCTATCTACTTTTTAGAAGGTCTACTAAATAGCAGGCACTCAATAAATTTAATGAATAGAAGTTATAAACAAACGTACTTTTCTGCACAATTTTCACATAGACTAAAGAGTTGGAGTGTGTGCTAATCCTCATCTTTTTAAAAACACAATAGACGCATACCTGTCTTCTTTATTGACTTGAGAGTAATATGATCTCTGTCTGATTGCAGAATAGAAGGAGAAAGCCTCGTTCAGATAGCTGGTCTCAGATGTACGTAAGCTATGAGAAAAAAAGTCTTTTACTATAACTGTTAGAAATTTTTAACCATGATAAATACTAAGTACTTGTCCCATATTTCTCTGTTCCCCTACATGAGAGGATAGGAATGGCTGTTGTAAATTTTTATCAGCAAGGCAGTAATCATAAACCCTTAAAGTATGTAAAAAGAGTACAGCGGTAATAAAAGCAATACCTCCTCACTGCTCCCAAGTAAACTCTCCAAATATCCTGGCACCTGATGAAATCTTTCCCTCCCAGGACCAGACCTACCATGCCCTCTCCCAAATTTATAAAGTCACTTGTCCTTTGATCCACTTCTTTAGATTTTTCCTCACAGAACTCAGGAACGAACTAATCCATAGTGATTTTCAGGGACGTTAATGAGTTATGTTTTCTGTTTAACACTCCAGTTTTTCAAGGGCCTCTTAAAGAAAATATTCTACACAAGAGAGTAATTTAAATGGTGGAAATTTGATGGCATGACAAAATATAGGAAAAGTTTTCTTGCCTTATAAATTACCAATGGTATAAGCCTTTCTCCCCCTTTTAAACATTATGCTATAAGAAATAAGTCCAAGCCTTTTTCTTTTTGAGGAAGGTTTTGCATTTTGGGGTGTGCTAGAGTGGAATGGTGTCATCATAGTTCACTGCAACATCAAACTACTGGGCTCAAGTGATCATCCTGGTTTAGCCTCCCCAGTAGCTGGGACTACAGGATTGTACCAGAACATCCAACTAATTTTTTTTATAGAAATGGTGTTTCACTGTGCTGCTCATTCTGGTCTTGAACTCTAGCCCTCAAGCAATCCTCCTGCCTTGCTTGGCCTTGCAAAGTGCTAGGATTATAAGTATTAGCCATCATGCCCAGAATCAAGCCTTTTTTATTATATACCTGATATTTTTTTCATGATAATGAGATTTCCTCTCAAGATTGAGATTCCTCTTAAGAGTCAAGGAAAGAAGAGAACCATAAGAACCATAAATTCATCTTTATTAATCATTTATCTAAAATGAAAATTAAACTCCTTTCAATTATAAATGACTCTGACTAAATGAACTGTTTAGAAGGTGAACCTTTGAACCAAATAATATTACTTTGATTATGGAAAGTCATTTCCCGATGTTGTCTTTTTTCCCCCTACAGATAAATTCATGCTGTATCCATCGGGTTAGTTTCAAACTCCTGACCTCAAGAAATTCTCCCCCTTACCCTCCCAAGTAGTTAGCACAAACACAAGACACCATGCCCACCTAATTATTATTGTTATTATTATTTTGACACAGTCTCACTATGTCACCCTTGGTAGACTGCTGTGGCATCACAGCTCACAGCAACCTCAAACTCTTGGGCTTAAGTCCTAAAATTCTCTTGCCTCAGCCTCCCAAGTAGCTGGGATGATAGGGGTAGCTTGCTTGATGATGCTGTCTGGATCAATCTGGTCTGAACTACTATAGTTTCACTTGTAACTCATAATTTTTATGCCTAACAAGTGAATATACCACACACACTTCTGTATGATGTGTTTTAATCAGGACAACACTTTACTCTTTCCACATATAGTTCACTTACTAATAATGGTAGTATAGCTGCCCAATCTTGGAAGCAATTTCCCCTATTTGCCACCGCTTCAAGCCATACCGATTATCCAAGACTTGCCTGTTTTATAAAAGAGATAAGAAATTAAAAATAAGAGACTAGAAATTTCAAAAATAACCAAATCTATAAATTCAATAGGATAAAATACCATCAATTATGCAAAGCTGATGAATTTTTCATGAGATTTTGACATACGCATTCAATTAAGTTCAAAAAGTATTTATTAAATGTCTATTTAAGTAAGTTCAAATATAAAAAGAAACTGCTTTCAGTTATGTCCTTGAAAATTAGAAGAAACACTCCCCTACACACATGCTCAATTGCTTTGGCTAATAAAGAACATGTATTTTAGAATGAAACCATGAATTATCCCACTTATGTTAGAGTTAATCTGAACCATTCCAAATACAAAATCATCTGAAGAAGATAAAAAATACTGTATTTAAAAATCTTAAGTAAGAAAAAATAAATGTGTTTTTATTTGGCTCATAAAGATAAACTATGTATTATTTTAAAAGCCCAAAATAAAAAGCACTGGCATACTAAAGATCAAAACTGTGACTAACGTAACTGGCCTTTGCTCTTCCTTAACTATAAAATTTCTTTACCGATGCTGCTGCTGGAACTTCCAGAGTTTGGTGTAAACATCAAAAGTTCTTCCAAAATAGGATTGCCATTGCTTCTGTCCATACTGTGGCAAATCTCTGTAATAATAAATAAGGATATATTAATTTTAAATCTCTTATGCTGTTTGGAAATTAAGTCTTCTGATGATAAACCAGATAGATATAAAGAAATACACATAATGCAAAATTCAAAGAGGACAAAAGGTCTCTACAGAGTAAAAAGAAAGTCTCCCCTACTTTTGCTCCTAGTAAACACAGTTCTCCATTCTGGAGAACTCCTCATTTATTTACAAGCATATATACACACATATACACACATATACTTCGAGAAATAAATTTAAAATAAGCATATCAACAAAAAAAGTGAAAAAGAAGAGTCCTATGACCTAACCAATTACAATGAACATTTCAGCGTATTTTCTACTCAGTCTGTTTTCTACTCACATTCGTTTTGTTGCTTTAAATAAAGAAGTTGTATTCCTATTTCACTGACTGTCCAAACCTATTAGTAACCTAACTGCCTAAAGAAAGGATTTTATGGAAGAATTTTCTTATAAAAAATGTTGATGGTATCAAAATAAAAGATTCAAATCAAAGCATTTATTTTTCAAGCATCACTAAAACTTAGGTTTTTCAGTGTGGCTAGTTCAACTTGGTAGGTTTTCCTACGACATTTTTATATGATTAATTGGGTGCTCTGCATGACATTCTAATGTATCACTTTCTTTTTAGCTGTTATTTCTAATACACAGCTGTGTATCTCCAAACAATTTTTCCCCCAAACCAGCATGTTTCTGAATATGCCCTCTTGACCTACTTACCAAGATGTTTCCAAATGCTACAAAATGATTCTTTATTTTTTCTATTCCAATTTTTCTGGTTTCTCCATCAAAAATACTGGTATTTCTTTAGCAGCAGCATCTACATTCTCTTGATTCTATGTTTATCATTTTCTTTGTGAATACTGAGAGATCATCTCCACTTCTTCCTGAAAATCACTAATTCAATGTTTCTAAGTAGTATTAGTTCTACTCGTAACTGTCTTTGATGTGAATTTTACGCCTGATACCACATTTTTGCTTTTCTAAAAGTCTCTGTGGCTTTATTTAATCTTAACCTGCTCCCTCCTTAACCTTTGTGCTTTTTTTCACAGATGCTATGATTGGAAGCACTTTATTGTAGAAGACAAACAATTTTTCAGAATTTTCTTATCACTTCTATTACAGATAATTTTTATTTTTTATTTTATTTTTTTTTTTAGCTTTTTTTATTTTTTACAGTTTTTGGCTGGGGCTGGGCTTGAACCCATAAGTCTAAGCCTTAAGAAAGATAGTTTCATTCCCTTGGGGGGGGTGTATGTAGGGGTTAGGAGTGATTATTTTTATTTTTGGAATAAGCCCATTTAGGGATGTGATTCATCCTTCCTAGAACAAGCCATGATTTACCCAGTCTCTATGCTTGCTACTTCTTCTTCCTAGACTATGTCTATCGTGCGAGAGGGAAAGAAATGAAATCGCTATCTCAGAGCTTACACGTGGATTGGCGATCCCAGCATAATTACTTGGGCAGGTTGGTATCAGTGAGTGTCAAATCAGCTGGATAAAGGAGGGACCTTCACATATCCCTACAGTTTGGTGCTCTGACCCTATGTACCCGTGGATATATGTAAAAATCTACTAATTGTCAATGAATTCTTCATGTCTGTCCCAACAAATTATGCTATACTCTTGAGTTTTATAGCTCCCAGCACGTACACTGTGGCAGTGACAATATTTCTTTCCTCCCATACCTTCTGCTTATGCTAATTTTTAGGAATGATGATCTGGCTATCTCCTAAAGCAGCAAAAACGCAGAAGGGCAAGTGCTAATGTTATGATGGAGCCTTCATTTCTGTTGCAAGATAAATTGCTTCAAAAATTAGCCGCTTAAAACAAAAACTACTTATTCAATAATTTTATAGGTTAACAATATGAGCCAGGCTCAGCCAGATACTTCCACTGGTCTCAGCCAGACCTCACTCATGCAGCTCTGACAGTTAGTGATCACTGGCTTCCCTCAAATGTCTGGCAGTCGAATGCTTAGTCACATGTTTCTCATCATCCGGCTGGATAGCTTGGGTTTGTCCGCCTGAGGACTGGTTACAAGGATACCACAAGCAGTAAGGCAGAGGGCAAGCTCTAGTGCGCACTTTTCTTTTCAAGTCTTAACATCATATTTGCCACTGTCCCATTGGTCAAAGCAAATCTCACTGCCCAGACCCAAGGTCGGTGTGGGAGGGACTCTTCACAACCAACAGAGAAAAGGGAACCTTTTTTTTTTTTTTTT